ACTGTCCTAACAAACAATAACTATGCTAACTATACTGACTAAATACACTATTAATAACTATCAATATTACTAACCGTGCTAACAATAACTATGCTAACTATGCTAAATATACTATTAATAACTATCAATATTACTTACTGTGCTAACAATAACTATGCTAACTACCCTGAATAAATACACTTAATAATTCTATTAATATTACTAACTGTGCTAACAAACAGTAACTATACTAACTATGCTAAGTATACTAAGTGTACTAACAATATTAACTAAAAATACTAACTAAAAAATTTAAAGAAAAAATGAGAAAAATTTGAGAAAATTAAAAGAATGAGGAAAAAAGAACAAAAAAATGGGAAAAGTGAGGAAAGAAAAATAAGCAAAAGTAAAATAATAAAAAAAAATATGAGACAAAGAAAGCAAGAATGAAGGGAAAAAATAAAATGGGGAAAAAAAGGAGAAAACAAGCTAGGTAGTCCAAGTCCAACAGGTCACCACAAATTAGCTTCCTGGACTATTAACGGACTAAAAGCTCAGCCCAGCCAGAGCTTTATATAGCTGTTCTTGGTAATTACATCACAGTGGTGCTTTATGAGCTCAGAGCCAGAAACTGACCAAACATAGCTAAGGATAAACTACAGTGGTTTTCTCCCCTATACTCTGGTTTGAACACCCTTCACTCTGAACGGTACCCCAAAGAGCTTTTTGTTTATGTGGGATATTGAAGACTGATATTTACTTTATTAGAGTTTATAGTCTGTAGAATGCTTCAAAAAAAAAATAGATGTGTATTAGAATAGAATGTTTTTCCAGGGGTGATAGTGTTGCATTTTGAAAAGCCCCTAAGATATGATATGTTTTCACTTCCTCAGTCAAGAAATGGTGCTGCCCTTTGAGAAGCCCTACTTGTGTGTATAATAAACTAAATTTTATGTAAAATGTTCATTTAAAAGGTATCTACAAGCAAGTGTTCTTTAAAACCACCTTGTGCTTATTAATATCATAGGTTAGCTGAGTAGTTCCCGCAGAAAATACTTTCGGGTGTGTATTCATTTTGGATACCTTAAGTTTTTTTTGTTTCTTTGTTTTTTTTAAATAAATGGAACTTTGTTAAAAGTGAAAAAAAATAAATAAAATAAAATACTGAGGTTTTTTTTCCCCAAAACATCTAATATTTCTGAAAGTCTTTTTCTATTATGTAGACAAAAATATATCCATCTGTTACCACCATGTTAATTTTTTAATAGTTACAGGATTTATTATTACTTAAATTCAGCTTACGGGCTACATCTACCACCCTTTGAATATGCTGAGAAAAAGCCCAACAACACATGCAAAACATGATTAAGGTTAATGCTGTAAAAAGCAGTATCCAAAATCAAATATAAAATTATCATTATTATTCTAACACAGATAACTAAGATTATTTAATAATGCTAAACTAACCTCATTAGTTCATTTATTCATTGATTCACTCAGAAAAGTTCATTGAGTGCTTACTTAACAGGATAAAGCAGTGAAAAACAGAGCTCCTAACCAGGAGCCTGGTGGTAGATATAGAAAAGTAAGCAATTAGAATAGTGATGTTAGTTCCATATAATTAGGAACCTCCAACCTAGTCTTCTGATTATGAAAAACTTCTTTAGGAAAATGGGATTCCTAAACTGAGTCTTATTAAATGAAGGAAATAAAATTTGGTCAAGTTAAGATTCAATTCAAGACGTCATAATTGGGGAACTAGTTTTAAAAAGAGCTAAAAAAAAAAAGGTTGAAAAATATTATCTGAAAGGCAGTCTTCATATATCTGAAAAATCTTATACAAATGATAATAGAATGATAGTATTTATTTGTTCTGAGTCTTTATTGAGAACCAAACAAAAATAAATTCATCAGAGTAAGTTTAATGATTATAAACTAAAGCTTGATCTTTAGCTTAGGCCACAGGAAATATTTCCAAACCATTAAATATTGGAACAAAGTTTTTTTTTTTAAGATTTTATTGGGAAAGAGGAACAACCAAGTTGTTCTCCTTCAATCTTAGTTGTGGTGGGCGCAGCTAGCTCAGCTCCAAATCCAGTCGCCATCCAGCCGCCCATGGGCAACGCGTGGCTGCTCAGCTCAAGGTGCCGTGTTCAATCTTAGTTGTGGGTAGGCGTAGTCCACCATCCCATGCAGGAGTCAAACCGGAAACCTTGTTGTTAGGAGTACATGCTCTCACCAGCTGAGCCATCCTGCCACCTATTGGCAGCTCAGCTCGGGCACAACTCACTGGCCCATGTGGGAATTGAACCAGGGACCCTGTTGCTCAGAGCTCACACTCTTAACCAAATGAGCCACTCAGCCAGCCCCAGAACAGAGATCTTTAAAATGAGAATACCTTATTATGAAAAGGTGAGGGCTACGCAGAGTACATAAATTCTCCATCAGAGGTTTCTAATGCAATAGAAAAAACATACATGAAAACATGAACTGTAGACTGACATACAAAAGTTAATATCTTCAGATTGGTACGTTCAGGGTTGGAGGATAGGGACAGGAGATGTGTTTACCAGTAAATCTGGGCTTTCATCTTTTTGTACCCCTACTGCTGGTAATTTGAGCAAACCTGGTATATCTGATAAAGCCAAAGCTGTTACCTAGTGAAGCTTCAGTTAGGGCTTCTAAGCCACATGACCTTCTAACATTAATGGTTCTTTTTAAACACTACTTAGTTCATAATACTTTAAGGATAAGGTAGTCAAAGTAAAGAAGAGCTAAACTCAAGCTTGTTACATGTAAATATTGATTCTTATGTTTCCAAGTCAGTCAACACAATTACCACTAGAATTTTTAGACAGCCCATTATATTTTTCTCTTCTTTAACCAGGTACAGACTAGTGTATTTTATATTTGAAATAAATATGAAAGGAAAAACATCCCTGCTGGGGTTATCAGAAGCATTTTACTTTTTGTAGTAATTATGCTTTCTACTGTACTACATGGCTTAAGAGTTCATTTTAAAAAATATATATATATACAGTTTAACTACATGGAAGTAATGCAGTGAATTAATATATATATACATATATATATGTATATATATATAATCATATGAAGCAAATTTTTGTTGAATCCTTACTGTTTGCAAGGCATTGTGCTAAGTGTTAAAAATAAATAGATGAAAAGATATAATGATTGCTGTCTTCAAGAAACTTGTAATTTACTTTTATCTCAGTTGAAATTTATTAAAATGGAAAAATTACAAAATTGTGTGGTGTCATAATGAAGGAACACAGAGGAAGGAATACCAGAATCTGTCTAGGCTTTCCTTGATAAAATTTAATCTGTAGATATGTGATTTGTCTTGACTGTGTATATCAGCTTCACAAAGCATTGTGAAATTACTCCTGCTTATAATGGTCCTACGTAAACTTGATCTAGATCAGTTTGGTCTTGTTTATTTTTACTTCCCATGTTAAGGACTAGGTTGTTAAGAAAGATCTTTTTAAAACCCCGAAAAATAAAACCATTCAATTCAGTTTATTATTTTTTCACAACTTATAAAAATTAGCATGAATTGGTTTCTCTTCCAGTGTCAAGATACTGGGAATTTTTATTTTTTTATGTAGGGCCGGCCGAGTTGCTCAGTTGGTTAAGAGTTGGCTTAAGAGCGCGAACTCTGAGCAACAGGGCCACCAGTTTGATTCCCACATGGGCCAGTGATGCTGCACCCAAGCTGAGCTGTTGCTGAGCTGCCAACAGGTAGCAGGATGGCTCAGCTGGTGTAACAACAAGATTGCCTGTTTGATCGTGGGCTATGCCCACCCGCAACTAAGACTGAACTCGGCACCTTGATCTGAGCTGCTGCCCAGATTGCTCAGTGGATAGAGCATGCGCTCTTAACAACAGGGCTGCCGGTTCAACTCCCGCATGGGATGGTGGCTACGCCCACTCGCAACTAGGATTGTAACACAGCACCTTGAGCTGAGAGGCCACGAGCTGCCGACGGGAAGCCAGATGGCAACTGGTGCCCTCCACAACGAAGATTGAAGAACAACAACTTGGCCGGTCCCCTTCCCCAATCCTCCAACACTGTTCTGCTCCCCCAATTCCCCCAATAAAGTCTTTAAAAATAAAAAAATTTTTTTAAAAAGTTTAAATTTTTTTATGTAAATGGAAGATACTTTTAAATTATCACCTCTTAAAATTTCTTTTAACCATTTAGGTGCAACCAGAAGTGTGGTGGTTGGATGGAATTTGAGTTGCTTTTTTTTTTTTAAGGTTTCCTCTGGATCCTAAAAGAAGAAAAGAATGGGTTCGCCTGGTTAGGCGCAAAAATTTTGTGCCAGGAAAACACACTTTTCTTTGTTCAAAGCACTTTGAAGCCTCCTGTTTTGACCTAACAGGACAAACTCGACGACTTAAAATGGATGCTGTTCCAACCATTTTTGATTTTTGTACCCATATAAAGTCTATGGTATGTAATGTTGCCTTTTTTTTTTTTAATCTCATTTTTAGCACCTATTCCTTTTGGTTTATAAAATGGAACAATTCAGACTATATTGCAAATCATATGTGATGATATGTCTCAGGAAATTTGCAAAATTTCCTCTTGTGCAGTAAGGGTGCAGGCAGAGTTAGAGCTCAAGTCTCCTAACTCCAATATTCTTTCCCTGATCCAAATTGTTTTCCTCTACTGGAATTTTACATTACTGCCAGTTATTATCAATAACTGAACCATTGGTAAAACTGAGGAATCATGAGTAATGAAACCTCCAGCATCACTCTGCTCTGATTTTAAGTTGTCCTACAAAAAACGTGTGCTTAGTTCTTGAGGAGCATTGCACCCAAAGAATACCAGAGCTACACCAAAGAATGTAAGTTCAGAGGTAGGTATAACAGAGAATGTCACAGAGCTCACATTTAGGCTGGGCTTGTGCTTAGAGTTTGAAATTTAAGAGAGGGTTCTTGACCTTGTACAGGACAATTGCAATAGCATGATAAGAACAAAAGCCAATGGGTTGAGGGGTGAGTGAAAAATAATCAAATGTTAGCAAGTCATATTTAAAAGGAAGGAGAGAATTAAGATATAGGATAAATGTATTAAGACAATGTTTTATATAATTAGGGAAGATCTGATCAGAGAGGAAAAAGCTAGCTGAGAAAGAAAGGGTCACCAAAAGTTAAAAATGGGTAGAATAAACAAAAATAGAGTGTTTAAGTTTGAAAAGTAGGACAGGCATTTTTTCCTCGGAGAGAAGAAAAAAATACTGCTTTCCTTGAGTTACTTGTGACAGTTAAATTTGTAAATGTATATGTGTTAATATCTGAACAGGTAGAGGAGTATATGTTGAACTAGTTATCACAGATTAGACAAGCTCCAGAAGGACGAGAACTTTGTCTTTTTACTTCTGAATCCTCGGCACCTCAAATAGTGCCTGGGACATAGTACACACTCAAATATTTATTGAACTTGAAGTACACCTTACTTTTGACATTTTGCTCATGTAGTCATTCAACATTTACTAAACTTTACATTATCTATACTTGACAGAACCTAAGTTAGATGCTGAGGATATAAAAATCAAAAAAGGAGTCCCTACCAATTCCTCTAGGTAGAGAGAATACCAAATGTAGGTTTTATGAGGACATGAACCATGTTCATCTTATTTGTTCAGCCTTGTGTCCCCAAGAATTCATAAATAAATTCCTGTGTTTCAATAAATGTTTGTTGAATGAATGAAAGACACAAAGTTATGAGGTTATGGTATAATCTGAGAACTGCAAGTAGTTTAGTATTGTTGGAGTAGAAATTAAGATCACAGGCGGCAGAATGGGGCGACATCCTAAATGATAAAGTATGCCACATGAAGATTTTTTTCCTTTGGATAATGGGGAGGCAAAGAGGAATTCAGCTAGTATAGAAACATCAAATCTGTTAGAAAAATTATTCTGATGGCAATATATGGATTAGTGAGGATCAAATGAGGTGAGAATAAAGAAGCTTTTAACATATTCAAGCTAGATATGATATGAGCCTGATGTGGACAGTAGCATTAAGAATGCTAGAAAGGAGATGATTCATAATAGAGATATTTAGGATGTAGAATTAGTAGAACTTCATGACTAATTGAATGAAAGCAATAAAGGGGGAAAAAGGTCCTCAGGTTTCTGAATTGAGCAAAAAGTTTCTAGCCAGATTTTAAATCCTTGAATGGAAGCTGTAACTGAACAGTTAATAAGTAAATCTATTCAGAAGCTTGATACTTAGAAATGTTCTTATTAAGTAGGACCCAAGGTCTGAAATATTAATTGAGACTATAGTATTTACCTAAAAAAGAGATCAAATTAGTATCACAGATAAACCAAATGTCTAAATACATGATATTGGCCTTAGTGAGAAAATTGCAAAGTCTCCATAGAGTCATACTCAATAATTTGGAGTGACCTTGGATGGAATTCCATTGTCTATTTCCAAACCAACGTTTGTATTTCTCTAGAGAGAGAGAGACAACAAAAAGAAGTGGCTGGAGTTAATTCAACCAGTTGAGAAATTTGAATCCATGATTACATGAGATGAGCTGCTGATCTTTCCTAGCTTTTGAAATTAGTTTTTAAAGGAGCTGTTATACAAAACTAGACAAAATTTATTTATTTGTATATTCCATAATTTATGTTCCTCTAATTTTATTTGGCTCAGAAACTCAAGTCAAGGAATCTTTTGAAGAAAAACAACAGTTGTACTCCAACTGGACCATCTAATTTAATATCAAACATTGGTAGTCAGCAAGTACTACTTGAACACAGTTATGCCTTTAGGAATCCTATGGAGGCAAAAAAGAGAATAATTAAACTGGAAAAAGAAATAGCAAGCTTAAGAAGGAAAATGAAAACTTGCCTACAAAAAGAACGCAGAGCAACTCGAAGATGGATCAAAGCCACTTGCTTGGTGAAGACTTTAGAAGCAAATAACATATTACCTAAGGGCACATCAGAACACATTTTACCAACTGCCTTAAGCAGTCTTCAGGATTTCAAGATTCTTGAACAAGATCAACAAGATAAAACGTTACCAATTCTCTAAATCTAAAACAGAAAAAGAGTACCTTCATTTAAGATTACCTGCATATAACTTGATGCCCATCCTTCATTCTATTCAAAGGTAAAGACATTTAAGAACATTATGCCAAAATTGGGTATTTAATAAAGTTTTACTTGAAGTAACATTATTACTGTATAATTTATGAAGACTTGATTACCAAAAAATGGAAAACTTTTTATTAAACTTTTATTTGAAAAAGAACAGAAGTGCCTTACATGAGAATTACATAAAAATTTTGCTAGGATGTTGTATGTTTGCAAGATGTGTTGTGTTTTTGTCTTTTTAAACTACTTTTAAAAGAACAGTCTATGACAAGTAATATGTTTAATTTAATTAGAAAAAAATTTGTGTACCGAAGTTGGGATATTATATTCTAAATAAGATGCTAAGTAGAAGTTAACCAACATTAAATATGACTTTAAAACTGCTGGGTTTTGTATTAATTAAATTATTATTGGCACTGTGATTTGGAAACTACAAAAAAAAGCCTAAGGTACAGGGCAACTTTTTAAACTTTCTGTATCTTTTTACCAGTAAAAGTCCCTCATAAAAATATCAGCTTTTAAATCAGATTGTAAAATATTTTGAAAATATTTTTGAATGTGAAGTACCCTTGAGTCATCCAAATTTGGGAGGGCATTGAGTACCTCAGTCTAGTAAAAGATGGTAACTAATTATATTCACTTTCTAAGAAAATATGTTGTGAAATAGAAATCGGGATGTAGCTTTTACCTTAATTAAACAAAAAGATAACTTTATATACTATTTTACTCATAATAAAAATAAAACATTTTTTTAGGGTTGGCCGGTTAGCTCAGTTGGTTAGAGCATGGTGCTGATAATACCAAGGTTGCCGGTTTGATCCCCACATGAACCACTGTGAGCTGCGCCCTCCTTAAAAAATAATAATAGTAATAATAACAATACATTTTTAATTTCAACATTGATTCATTAATAAGCAAATATGCTACCAAGTTCCACGTTAGGAAACTCCCTCTGCCTTCATGTATGTTGATATAAAAACTTTTAAGCTTTTTTCCCCCTGTAAACCCATACTAGAATTTAATCATAGAAAAGTACTTACCATATTATATCTTTAAAACTTATAACTTAAAATGGAATCAATTTATCTTACACATCTTGCTTTTTATCTCCTTTTTTAGTTGAGAGTCAAATAGAACAACCATACTGCATAAGGGAAATGAAATGTAGTTCTCTATGAAAGTACATACGTCTGTAAATAAAGCTATGCAAGTGCTAATTATTTTACAAAATAGAATATCAGTACTATTTTTTTTTTTTTAGCTGAGCCATCCTGCCACCTGTTGGTAGCTCAGCGGCAGCTCAGCTCGGGCCAGGCATCAAACTGCTGTTGCTCAGAGCTCAAACTCTTGAGCAAGCTCTTAACCAACTGAGCCACTCAGGTGGCCCCATTCAGAACTATTCTTGTAATTGCCACTTGAACAATTAAAGAGTTTGCCTTACTTCACCAGATAAATGTTTAATAAGAATGCTTTCCTTCAAATAGCTTTGATCAAGTCATGCAAAAATTTATTAAAGAATAATGAAGTTAGTTATTCAGTCCTGATTCAAGCTTCTGACACCATCATATGAAAGTAGCATACACCTAATCATAAATTGCTGTAAATTTTTTTATAAGGTAAATGTTACTTGATGAAAAAAAATTTCTTTTGCCAACTATTTAGGCTGCTGGTTTGTTTTTTTTGTTTTTTATGACATTGTTTGGATCCTAGCAACAATCTTTTTACAGTATTAGCATCCCTCTTTTAATAAGGAATGCCTCCCAAGCAACTAGAATTCACAAAGGCAAAGGTAGGAAAAGTCTGGTTTAGTTATCATCAGGCACTTAAATATTTATGAAAATGCTTTTGTGTGTACTGTAAACCTTGTTAGTCATTTTATCTTTATCTTAAATAGTGGATGTAGCTCCTTGGAATTGTCATTACATGGTTTTTTTTTCAAGTATCTTTTCACCAACACATAATCATCAGCAAACACTGACTACATACTTTATACCTCAAAATAAGTTAGGCAAATAATCACTTAAACATAAACTGTGTTTTCCACATATAGACTGTCATGTGGTTTACCACCACTCCCCAATACAAAACGAAACACTAATTAATGTAGACTGGTTCCCATCTGCAATAATATCTTGGTATCTAAAAAAAAATAAATAAAACATTATGAAATACAACAAGGTTTTCACAAGGTTACTTGTTCTTCATTCATTATTATTTGAGACCACTGAATTTACTGCCACTCAGTAATTTTAAAGTAAAATTGTTTTGGTGTTTTCTCTATATCCTTTTCATGTAACTGTCCTGATAACATCCTCCAAACTCTCCCTGTATCAAATTCTTTCATTAACATACACCTGTCTACCTTCAAACTAGTATCATGCATAGAAAAAAAACCTAAAATACATCTTTTAAAACCCTGTTTTCAGTTTGTTGATAAACATCACTTTGACCATAGACCATAAAACTAATAAAAATTATAATAACTTTTTCCTCTGCTGGACATAACACATACATACCCCCTCTGTTCACTCATTTTATGTCTGCCATTCATTCTGCCTACAGGGCAGTAACCTCTACGAAGAACCAGCCAAAGCCTAGTAACCTGATATAAATATAAATATGGTCCGATTTACTGCCCATAGGTTGCTCAAAGTCTCCTGAAAGAAAAAAAATTGTTATTTATCATACAACATGATAAATATTTTAAAAGGCAGATGTGTGAGGTGCTTTGGTAAATGGTGTTGAATTAGAATTTAGTGAAAACATAAACTTCAGACCTTTTTATAGTAAAATACTTTTCTTTTGAAACATTTCTTATTACTTAACCAAAGGAAGTAAAAGACATTGGTGTTGACCTGAATTAGTGTTTTTTTAATGAGCTGTAAGATATTTTTTTTTTACCTTTAAAATGTACACTGAACAAATTTGTTGTTAATGATATCTTTGTTAACAGGAAAACAACTAAATGCGACATCAAAGCCAAATACTAGAGTTTATTTGATATTTTCATGAAATAACAAACCCTACCAACACAGATCTTTAAAAATATTTTAGCTCACAGTCTTAAAGTTAATAAAGCACTATGGCACCTATTAGTTCTCTTACTTGTTCTTTACAAATATTCTGTGTGGTAGGTGGTATCTCCAATTTACAAATGAAGAAATGTTGAACACCTGAAACTAATTAAAAAATGATGTAATTATCCATTCAGACATTTACTATGTGCCAACTGGCACAAGGTATAGAATGCTAGTATCTAGGAAAATCTAGATTGAACACTGGTCTTCAGCCTCCAAATTTTTGCCCACCACATTATAACCCTCTGTTAAACATGAATCATGTCGTTAAAATAGGACAAGTCATATGTCTCAAAACACTAAAATAAAAATTTTTATAAATATAGTAAAGATAGTCTAAGAAGTCATTGTTGACCTTTTCTAAGTCTTTGTAATGTTGGTATTTTATCTCATTTCTCAATTTTAGAATACGGGTAATTTTTAATTTTGGTATAATATAGAAAAGGTTTAACTTTACGCCAGAATATGAGATTCTTTTGATATTTAGACAAACTTTCTAAAATGATTTTATAATGTATATTAAACAATTGAATATTGTATTCACAAAATGTACTGAGTATGTTGATATTAAAAACTTTTTTCCAAGGACATTACTATCATGCCTATTATTCCCCAAAAATGTACTTGAATATTTCTGTGGAAGTCCTTCCCCTTAATTGACCCCCTAAAATATTTCTCAAGAAGTTCTCCCTAAATTAAAGCAAACTATAAATAAAAATATGTAGGGCCCGGCCAAGTGGCTCAGTTGGTTAAGAGTTAGCTTAAGAGCGCGCGCTCTGAGCAACAGGGCCGCCAGTTTGATTCCCACATGGGCCAGTGATGCTGTGCCCGAGCTGAGCTGTCGCTGACTTGCCAACAGGTGGCGGGATGGCTCAGTTGGTGTAACAACAAGATTGCCAGTTTGATGGTGGGCTACGCCCGCCCACCCGCAACTAAGACTGAACTTGGCACCTTGAGCTGAGCTGCTGCCCGGATGGCTCAGTGGATAGAGCGTGCACTCTTAACAACAAGGCTGGCGGTTCAACTCCCACATGGGATGGTGGCTATACCCACCCGAACTAAGATTGTAACACAGCACCTTGAGCTTAGAGGCCACAAGCTGCCTCTAAGGAGGGCGCCAGATGGCAACTGGTGCCCTCCACAACTAAGATTCAAGAACAACGACTTGGCTGGTCCTCCTCCCCAATTCCCCAACACTGTTCCCCTCCTCCAATTACCCAATTAAAAATATATATATATATATGTGAAGTCTAGAAGAGGAATTATCATTTTTGTTGCTCAAGTTATACCTAAACATACATTATAGATTATTTGCACTGTTTTAAATGCTGGCATTGCAATCTAAACTAGGCATGGAAGAGCTTTAAAAAATTTGATGTATTCTGACAATAATTTGAGGCTCACACAAAGATTTATAGATATTATCAAAGCATGATTTTAATAACAAAAAAGTGATTTGTCTCTTTTCTGATTAAGATATTGTTTAATACTTTAATTCAAAACATACTATCTTAATATTCGCTAAAAGACATTGCGAAAACTGGGGTGAACCTGACAGGCATGGTCCCTGTCCTCAAGGCTACTGGAAACAGGTATGCCCTTTTTCTAATTTCCTTTTAAAATGAGTTGAATCTAGCACTGCAAATCAGTCTTCAATTTGCTGCCTAGGCTTTTAAAATTTGTGTTCCAAAAGTTTGGGGTTTTTTTTTTTTATCTTTGGGTTTCATGTCAAGAAAGGAGATATGTGCCTATCTTTCAGATGAACTTCCAGTTTAATTATTTAAATAATATTGCAAACCTTATCTCTAACTCTCCATTCTCGAACTTATGCTCTTCTTAACCACCAAACTTTTACAAATTGCCTTTCCCTTAGCTTGGTCACTTAACTCCTTGTCATCTTTCAAGTCTTAGCTCTGACACTCTCTCTGTGTGTGACACCTTCCTTTAACATACCAAAGTGACATAAGTGCTTTACTCCTTGAATCCTGTTTTATACTAACTTGGATAAAGTGATCATATCATTATAATGTAATTATCTATATATATATATTTTTTTATGTTCCTTCAAAGCAGTGTATGCAGGTGTTTTGTTTTTTTCTTTTTGTTTTTGGACCTCGGGAGTCTGACATGTATATATTAAACATTTAAATATTAGCAAATTTCAGGTAGTCTTAACCACTCCTTTGGCTTAGATTTAAAGGGATTGTACATATACTCCACTGACTTCTTCCTAACAGTGCTAAATGCTTTTTGCCATTGGGATGATTTTTGTAATTGGTGTTAAGTACATACCAAGTTTCTAGCCCAGAAAAAATCCAAACTTGTTTATATCAAAGAACAAACATAAATAAGTATTGTGACATTTAAAGGTTATTCGTGCAACAATGAACTTTCAGTCTGTTGCTCTGATTATTACAGAAATTCTAAAACTCTTGTTTTCTGAGGGAAAGGAATCTGTGGTAAAACAATTAACTGTTGGAAAGATTTATATGAAGGTGTTCAAGTTTCTTTTTTTTTCTAAGATTTTATTAGGGAATTGGTGGGGGGACACCGTTGGGGAATCGAGGAATGGGAACAGACAAGTTGCTGTCTTTTGTTCTTCACTCTAGTTGTGGAAGATGTTGCTTCACTGGCCCATGTTGTTATTATCATTGAGCTCTTCCCGGGTGAGGCAGTCACTCGCAGGCCATTGGACAGCCGCTCACAGAAGCTCACAAAAGCTCACGCCAGCTGCCGGCCAAACCCACTGCAGCCTATGCCATTGCGGGCAACTCATGGCAGCCCAGCTCCAGGTCGACCTGTTGTTCACCATCTTAGCTGTAGAAGGCGCAGCATCACTGGCCCATGTAGGATCCAAACCAGGGCCCTGCTGCTCAGAGCTGGCATCCCAAGCCAACTCTTAACCAATGCACCACTTGGCTGGCCCTGGTGTTCAAGTTCTTAACTTCTCAGAGCATTTAATGATACACTCTCACAGTCCTATGAGGATATCAAATGTCTCAACCTTAAATTTGCTCACAGGTATGAGGGGGTGTGTAGAAGGTAACATACGTACTAATATCTTGAGGAATATAGTTTAGGAAATGCTTAATCAGAGATTTTCTGTTGCCAGAAAAGGGTTTTTAAAGTAAATAGAAAAAGACTTCGTTGAAATTTTTATGATTGTCAAAGTCTGTAAGAATCATCGGGCTGTAAAATCATGGGTATTTTTTAAAGAATAAGTATATCTTAACTATATTAATTCCCATAAATTGTTTCAGCCTTAAGCTAGAATAACTTGTTTATGGAGAACAACAGCCAATAACTGGACACTGGGGGGGAAATGGGAGAGAAATATGCATTTGAAGGGTCAATCACTGGCATTATTTGTTATTTCATATGCAATTTTAGCCAGTCACGAGAAAAGAAAAAATCATCCCTGACATCCAGGAACTAGTCTGACACATCTAGACTTCAGTGTTGTTAGGAAAGGCCTGACACAGCTAGGCTCTGATTTTCTGTTGGACATAAAAATCTCAGAACACCAACATCAGACAGTGTTACCCTATGATTGTGATGAAGTGTGTGTGTGGGGGTAGGGGGTGGGCAGGTAAAGCAAGACTGGTTTCATTATTTTGTCTAAGCAGAGACAAAAAACAAGGTCAATATTTTAAACTACAAAAATATTAGCTTTTACTATTAATAGTAATTGTTTGGTATTGCTGATAATGGCCAATCAGCTTTCTGAGGTAATCCAATTATTTACTTGTGCTAAACAGAGTTGAGACAAAAACTGGGCACATAATATATTTCTACATAAAGACCATATATATATATATATATCTAGTAAGAGTAGGCCACTACTATTTAGTCCTACCTCAGATTTGGTTCTTAGCTAACTAGTTAGATTCCTTACCAAAGGAAAGGCTGTTAAGTTGTCCTGACATGTATTTTAAAATCTAAAATAGTATGAGTTTTTTAAAAGTACTCTTAGTGGGTTAAAACACATTTGGGTATCACGTCTCAAAGTGACTTACCTCTTCTTACATTGTCAGCAATTGACCGAAAAAGTTCATAAATATAATGTAATTATTTATTAGTTACTGTCAATCCAAGCAAACAAAAGTTAATTTCAAACAAAACGTGAAATCAGCCACGAGATCTGGAATGTTACTGGTAACAAGGCGTTCTGCTTTCTAATTGAACTGACTAGATTCACGCGCTTCAAATATGAGAGGTGTGGGGGGCAGATTTCCACAAAGTGGTGTCATGACAATAATTTGAGTGCTCAATACCAGGAACTATGTCTAACTTTACATCTCCAGCAGCCAGCAGTGTCCAGCACATTACAGGTACTAAACGGTGTTGTTTTCCATGATTTTGTGTCATAAAATTCCGTTTTTACAATACAATATATCCTCCCATCCCAAAAAATCCATTATATTTTATGGCATGAACTCATAGGTGGAACAATATTCAAATATTATGCTTTCAATGGACTTACTGGGTCTAAATTCACTTGCATTCCTCTATTCTATTACTACCCAGGTGGTGATTTCACTTTTCGGCGATGTATCCTCAAACTCTAGGACTAAGACTCCAGATATCAATACAATTCTTTAGAGAATTACAAACCCTAACGGCCCAGGCCTCGGCGGTCCCTCGGTGGACCCGCCCAGCCCGCCTGCCCTTGGAGCCGCCCTTTAAACGCTCACGTAAACGAGGCGACGTCCTCGGGAGGCCGTGGCGCATGCGTGAAGAAGGAGGAACCGCAGGAGGCGGGGACGCGGCGAGGCGCGGGTAGTGCTCCAGGGACCTTGACTCAGACCGGTTGGACCTAGACTGTAGGGTGGAGCGGGCGGCCGTGGAGATTTCGCCGCTTTCCATCGCGCAGAACTCGCAGCCGGGAGTCGCCCAGGTTCCGGCTCCACATCCAGCCACTTTTCAGCCAGCGACTCGCCGGCGTCGGCGCCTGGACAGGCCGTGGGGGCGGAGCTCACCATCCCCCGGGCCTCCAATTGGCTGCTTCTGTTTTCCTTTTCACTTTCCTGGCCGCCGGAGTTCAGATGTGAAGTGACCGCCATCTACGAGCCGGCCCTCGGAGTGGATGCACTTTGCTTTTCCAGGGAAGCGTTAACCTCGCCCAGACGAGTTGGAGCTCTCCACAAGCAACAGTTGCCAAAAATAAGTTGGGTTTATATTGTTTTTTCGGTCGGTGGAAGATGTTGGCATTTACGTTCGCCTCCACACAAGTGTTTTGCTAGCAACTTAAATGACTGTTTTTCTCAAAAATGCTATATATTTTGCCCTCCAGCTGCTCATATCCTTATTTTCCATGACAGATCTTGACGACAATATATGCAGAAAGTATATAAAGATGATAACTAATATAGTTATATTAAGCCTGATCATTTGCATTTCTTTAGCTTTCTGGATTATGTCTATGACTGCAAGCACCTATTATGGTAAGTGTGAATGTTCTAAGTCGTTTTTCTATCATATAATCAGTGGGATTTAAAATTGTACCATTGTGGGGCCAGCTGAGTGGCTCAATTGGTTAAGAGCTCGCTCAAAGGTTTGAGCTCTGAGCAACCGCGGTTCGAGTCCAGCCGGAGCTGAGCTGCCAACAGGTGGCAGGATGGCTCAGATTAAAAAAATAAAAAAATAAAAAAATAAAATTGTACCATTGTGAAATCCAAAATGCATAGCCTCTGAATGGTTATGGGTTGTATTTACTTAACTTCCACAGCATGGATTTAATTTATTGGACAGTGCCTTGAACGTTTTAAAGCCTTTAATAAATGTTGCTTGTGGTACTACTAGTTAAACCTGTTTCGATATATGTTTTATGTAATTTTTACATCTATTATGGTGAGAAATAAGTAAAGTGAAGCATAGTTTTGGAAAGGAATTGCAGTGATGCTTTTAATAAGAATATTAGTAACATAATTTATCAGTTTCATGTGTCCTGTAAAAGTAGCAGTAAAAAGAAAAGATACAGTGTTTACATTTGGAGGATTTGTCTGCTGTTTGGACACTTCAAAAAAACAGACTCTTTTTAAAGTCTGAAGCCACTTTACACAAATATGAGGTATTCTGAACTCAGATCTTTAAAGTTTTGAATCTGCTTTAGAGCATAAGTGTACCTTTACACAAACTAACTTGTTATGCCTCTAAGAACAGAATAGTATTCAGTTCAAAACACAGAATAAGTAGAGTGAGAAAGTGAACTCATAAATGGTTGTCATAAGCGATTACCAGTTCAGACCTTAGTCCTTTTTCAAAGAGACATGAGAATGATCGAGTGTTTGTGTGTGTCTCCAGGGTACAGAAGCTTTCAGGGCTATTCATTCACAATGAGTTACAGTAGGGGCTGAGGGTTTGGGGAGGAGAGGTATGGGAAGAGAAGATTCTGCTTAATACCAGTATTAACTATGACTTGAATTAAATAGAATAAAACAGGATTTGTAGACCGAAGTGACCCCTTGGGGCCAGGCACCTAATGCAAATGAGTGAAGTTCTCCCAAGTCTTTGCATATTAAACACATGGGAATGGTTTTCATTTCCAGAAATACCGTATTTCCCCATGTATAAGACGCTCCCATGTATAAGATGCACCTTAATTTTCGGGCCCAAAATTTGAAAAAAAAGTATTACATAAAGTTATTGAACTCAAGTTTTATTCATCATAAAATCCATACAACTCCTCATCACTGTCAAAACTCCCAACCATTAGCCTGTCCTCATCTGTGTCTGATGAGGAATCAGTGTCTTCATATATTGCCTCATCCTCAGCGGGAAATACAAGTAAAAAAATCTCCAACCACTGTATAAGACGCACCCACTTTTTAGACCCCAAGTTTTTCGAAAAAGGGTGCGTCTTATACATGGGGAAATACGGTAGGATTTCCCCCTTTTTTGTTGAGCATTTTGCCCTCTTTGTCGTTCATTTTCCTATTTTTGATAGAAACATGGGCACAAGCAATAGTTCATGTTTTCTTTTACTGTAGTCAAAGTAAGGGAGTGTTTAGGAGTCTGCCAGGAATGGTGAGGACTTCAACCCAGAAAACCATGATCTGCCTAAAAGAGGCCCTGTAGTCAATTCTGCCAGTGGGCCTGAGCTTCCGGTTTTTAAAACAGAAATCAAGAATCTGGATTTCCTAATCTTTAAATATTGACTCAAATTGTTTGAAAACGTTATACTAGACAAAACATCTGTGAGCTGAATGCAACCTTTGGAAAAAATCAGCTGCCAATCATTGAATCCTGACGTGTAGCTTGTAAGAATGTTACTTAAAAAAAATAAAAATCTCTGAAAGGCAGAAAAATTGGATCCTACTAAGAAAGAAGTTTGTTCTATGCAGTTCTTGAGATTTAGTACATGCCTCCTTTCCAAAAAAAATGAGGAAGCAGAGATTTTATTTCAAATTTCCAAATATGTATGAAATACCCATTATTATAAATAGTTGTAAATGGTTCCCAAAACTTGGACAGGACTTATTTGGTTATTCCCAGTAGGAAACTCTCTCTGAAAATAAATAAGTGTAAACATAAATATTTTACTTTAGTGACTTCATCTGTTTCTTTTTCTATGACAGTTTTTTAAGCCAGAATGCACTTATCAAAGTTTACACTCAAGATTAACTTAATGCAGGTCTCAGACAATTTGTGCTCTTAATTTTTCAGGTAACTTACAGCCTATTTCTCCTTGGCGTTGGCTGTTTTCTGTTGTTGTTCCCGTTTTGATCGTCTCTAATGGCTTTAAAAAGAAAAGTTTAGATCACAGTGGCGCTTTAGGAGGTATGTTTTTGTTTTGAACGTTTTAACCATATAAGTGCTTGCTTGTATAATTTAAACTTTTGTTTTCTAAATTCTGAATATATGAGACTACAAATCACAAAGTTGTACATTTTAGACAATGATAAAGGTATGCATTGCTCAGCATTCTTAGTCTGTCAAAATTTCAGATACTAGCATACTGTTTTAGTGTTAGCAGAAACATTGGAGTATTCCTCCTAGGTGTAGAATAAAGGAGCCATTGGAAAAAATTGCTAACCACCATACTGACATTTTTTAATGAATTTTGTCTTGCCATATAATCAATAAGTATTATGAATGGTTATGTTTTATTTATTTGGCAAATGCTTATGTTGTATTTACCATGTATCAGGCACTGCTGTTAGCACTTTTGAAAGTATCAACTTATTTGTAGCAAATAATTTGAACAGTCTCTGCTTGAATATAATAAGAGTTATGCTTTGCTAAAGATACCCTTTCTCAGGTAGGCTTTCCTTGTTTTTTTTATTATTATTATTTTTTATTTTTTTAAAGATTTTATTGGGGAATTGGGGGAAGGGAACAGACAAGTTGCTGTCCTTTTTGTTATTCAGTCTAGTTGTAGAGGACATCACTTCACTGGCCCATGTTGGAATTATCATTGCGCTCTTCCTAGGTGAGGCAGATTGGTCGCTAGCCATTGGATGGCCGCTCATGGCGGCTCACGGCAGCTCACGCTGGCTGCCAGCCACTCATGGTAGCTTTACGGCAGCCCACTGCAGCCCCACTGCAGCATACGCTGTCGCTGGCCACTCACGGCAGCCCAGCTCCAGGTTGAGCTGTTGTTCACCATCTTAGCTGTAGAGGACAGTGTCACTGGGCCTCATGTGGGATCCAAACTGGGGCCCTGCTGCTCAGAGCTGGCGACCCAAGCCAACTCCTAACCAATGCGCTGGTTTTTATTATTTTTGAAGGGTCAAGTTCGCATGAAATTCTGTCTTCCTTTGGCTTCCATGTTGTTTATTGTATATTGTCTTGCTTCTCTTATTTTTCTGATCTCTACTTTTGTTTCTTTTCTGCTACCATTTCCTTTTCTGCCTTGTAGCTGTTGGGCCTCTACTCCTCTCCTACCTAGTTTAGTTTGGAATTAGAAAATAAGTGTTTGAATCCTGGCACTGCCTCCTGCTCTGTTAACATTGCCTCGTCGCCTAACTCCTCACTGCCTCCCTTTTCTTTATCTCTTGTGAAATAGGTCCTTATGGACTTATTGGTAAGGCTCATACAAGATAATGTGTGGGGCAACACATCTTTTTAAACTATAAAGCATTATACAAACATTGTTAGTGATTTATTATCTACTTTCAATCGTATTATAAAGATCCTAAAGATAGAGTATATCTCATGCTTCTGTGTTCCATGCTTCCTTGAATAGTGTTACATACATAATAGGTGCTTAGGAAACATATGTAGATTGATTTAAAAACCTTGCTCTTTTCCTGATCATTTCATTCTATGGAATGTTGATATGTTTGTAGTTTTTCTTAAGGAAAAAAAAAACTGTTGTGTTGATACAAAGTATATCACAGTACTTGGGAGTACTGTTATGGAGTATACCATTATGGAGTCACTTAAACTTTCAATGTTGTAATTTTCCATCTGTAAAATGAGCGGGAATAATAGTATCTATAGCATTGACTTATCATGAGAAGTTATCCTTGTAAAATATTCAGCATAGTAACTGGCATACAGGTACTATTTATGTGTTAGTTATTATTGTTTTTTTTTCCCACTACTACTATTCACAGTCGTAGGAATTTTACTAAGGTTTGCCATATCATGCCTATAGTATGCTTGTGATTGAAAAGAGTTTCCGAACTTCCACAGGTCCTGGGTACTTAGAGTCCTCCATGACATAGGAACACAGACCTCGGTGTTGATACAAGGGAGGGGTGGGGTTGAGGCAGTACTTAAGGTGGGCACTGAAATGGAGGGGTCTGATCTCCATGAGAAAGTATTTCTAGAATAAGGAGAAGATCACTTGAGGGGATATTGTAACTATGAAGCACTGCAGGTGATTTGCTCCAAAGAAGTATTGTCTAGTCTAGTTATTCAGCGTGTTTCTTTGAACTTGTCAGTGTGGACCTTTGTCATCAGGCTTTTGACTCGACAAGTTGAAATTTCCTTTCACTTACCAAAACTGTGAGGCTTAGTGGTTTACCATTTTTTTCATTCAGTCATTCAACAAATATTTAGTGAGGGTTCCCTGTATACCAGGCACTGTTCTGGGCACTTAGGATATAGCAGTGAACAAAATGAATAAAACTTCCATTATCATAGAGCTTACATTTCTAGTCAGGGGAGACAGTTGATAAGTAAGGTGGGTTTGAGGTGTTTAATCCCCAGCATGGGATGCCGTAAGTGCAATGGAAGTGCACACAGATGGGGTGTTGTCAGAAAAGGCCAATGGTTGTGCTTTGTGTGGTCTCTCAGGAGTGGCCTTAACCTCTTTTTAGCCAGCATTGTTCAAGTCTTGTGTTCAGTCTTTCTGAAATAGAACCCTCATTTTATCAGGTACCCAGAGTTGATCAGAGCCAAGAAAACTGGTTTATGCTGTTTACTGTCACAAGGGACTGATATGTGAGCCAGAATGCTCCTTTAATTCATCTGATCAGATATAGAACTGCCAGGCCAACTGGAATACAAACATTGCTGTTCAGGCATGCCCTATTCTTGTAGTCAGGTTACTTGAGAAGTCACATTATAATTAGAATATTGCTTTGGTCAGTCTAAAGTCTGAGATACGGTCAGCAATGCAAATCCCAGAGATCAAAGGGTCCCGTTCCTGGTACAGTATTGGACAAGTCAGCCAACCTATGGATCTTTTGGCCTTCGTGTTGTTAAACAGAAAACCTTCGCAGTCGAAAGCTTTTCTGAAAGAAAGGGTCTATTGAGCCATGTGCTAGCCAGAAAAAGACCAGCTCCTGGGACATACCTTCTAAACCACCAGCAGCTGACCTAGATGGAGAAGACAAAAATACCCGCTGTCCTGGAGCCAACGGGGCTCTTTCAAAGATGTAAGTTGTTTTGAATTTACATTGGCTAAAGATAAGGGGTAGAACTTCACAGCGGGGCAGTTCTAGGATGGGTGCACAGTCCATAAGGAAGAAATATTTACTATTTTTGATTGGTTATGGGCAACAGTCCCAAAACTTCATACATAAGCAGGATGGAGTGACATCTGGTGGTTGGCTGTTTCTTTTTAGATAGCCTCCTTGAAATTGATTCAAAGCTTCATCACACATTTAGGAATGTGAGAAGTCTTTTGTTAGTTGGACCACAGCTATCAGCTGGTTAATTACCCTTGTCTCTTTCTCCCACTTTCTGATTCACTGTCATGGTCTGCTGTAATTCAATTAGGACGTGTCAGAACTTTTTTGTTGTCAAATGTTCTATATTTAGGGCTAACCAGCCTTCTTTTTTTTTTTTTTTTTTTAGCTGAGCCATCCTGCCACCAGTTGGCAGCTCATCGGCTGCTCAGAGCTCAAACTCATGAGCGAGCTCTTAACCAACTGAGCCACTCGGCCAGCCCAACCAGCCTTCTTTTGATTCCCTCTGTTTTTTTCTAGGCATTTAGGTATGGTACAATCAAATCAATTTGAGTTTATTAAATTATTTAATAAAATTCCAGACCTGCCAGAGATTATAACCAAGACACCTTGGTTCAAATTTTGGGTATAACTCCACTCCCATTCTCAGAGACATTTGTAGACAGAGTTGCTTTACTTATCCAAATGGCATCTGCTAGGGACAGAATTTACCTGTTTTAAACTCAGAACTCAGCCTAAATCCTTGAGTCTTCAAGTGCTTTGGGAGCCACAATTAGAGATTGGAGAGGTGGGTTGAGGAGGTGGAGTAATACACAAACCAGAGATGGCAGATACTAATCTAAATGCTCAGACATATCTGGGAGTTGCCAGATGTTCTAAGATATTTTTAAACTACCTGAAAGAAATCATTCTTGCAGAGCCTTCAGTTTACTCATTCTGAACCTGTCATCAACAAAACATTGATCACTTCATGTAGTATTTTAAGGTGGTTGAAGTAAAAAAATTTAAATGACTTTTGTAGCATTTCATGGCAGGTTGTTTTTGGGCCGTCTTCTTTGGTTCTGTTTAAAGGCCTTGGAACAAATTGTTAACAGTGACTATCCATGAAAAAGAGATGGGACTGGTGGGGGTGAGAAGGGACACTGACTTTTTCTTTGTATACTTCCATATGTTTTGGCTTTCCCTCCAGTGGTCACATACTACTTCTGTAATATTTTTAAAGCTGACTGAAAAAACTTAAAGGTTGGATAACAATAATAATCACAGTTATTATTGTTATAATAATAACATATAATTATAAAAATAATAATGTTATGTTGAGATTTTGCCACTGCAACTGTTATTACTACCCATGATATTAATTAACATGTATGAAGGGCCTTCTGTGTGATGGATAATGTAATAAGCCTGTTATAAAAATGATCTCATGTAACTTTTCACAGCAAGCCAGTGTGGTAGGAATTATTATGTCTTATGTACTAATCCAGGCTTAAGGTTAGGGAACTTCTAGTCACGCAGAAGTAACTGGAGGCGCTGAGGTTGAACTCCAGATTGCTCAGCTCCAGAACGGAAGCACTTTACTAGTATGTACTTTACACAGCATTACCCTGTTTCTTGCACTCTCAACTGAAGTATACCAAACTTAAGTAAAATGCCAATAATTGAGTACCTCTGGAAGGATCAATCAGTGTCTCAGTAGTTGTGGTTCTTGAACCTTAAGCTACCAGTAGGAAGTAGTACTACAGAAATAGGACCCTGGTCCCCTGGGCTAGTATTTAATAAAATACTATTTATTACTTATTTTTTAAATAGATATTAACTTATTTAACAGTTATTTTATATCTTTTATTGCATTACTTAATATAATGTTGTGTAATTTGTTATTTAATAAAAATATTCATATAGAAAGAACTGAAT